ACCCTTTGACTAATGTCATGTAAAGTGCACTTGAATGTAAAAGGGATTACCATGATTAGAACAGTAACAGAATTTTCTACAAAGATAATATAAATGTTGAGATAGTTATTTGCATTGTTTCAATACTTGTGTAAACAATGTATTCAGGCATTGAAACATCACATAGTACCCCATGAATGTGTGTAATTTCTTATGTTTTAAGTTATTTAAAAGTAAATTTTAAGTTTTTTAAAGAAAGGGTACTCATAATAGATAATTCAATTCACATGGAAAATCAGAACTTTAAGATGATAGGCTCCTAAACCATATAAAGCAAAGTCTCAAAAATATATTAAGCAAAATTTAAGATAAATGTAAATGTAAATGCATTTATTATCACATTAAAACATTTGAACAATACCTATCACAACTTGAGAAAAATAAATTAGAATATGAATTTGAAAAACAAAATTTACAGGCTTGATCTAATGAACATATATAGAAAATGTTTCATGTTATTTTTTTTTCCAAATTCAAATCAAATCTTAAATGTGTATTACCTCTACATAATTCCACAAGATCCTCTAACAGTCATGGACTTGTTTGTATATAACCATAACAAAATTTATGTATGCTGAAATTATGAATAATTTTTTGTTATCTCAAATCCTGTCTGTACTGTATTAAAATGTTCTTGTTGTCTCCCATATATGAGAAGCCACACAGGTGATGTTTAAAACTGTAGACTTTAGGCAATGTCTCCGCTTAAATAATTTCTCTATTGCTTACAAACTAAGTAACAAAAATGATTTAATAAACTTAGTTTCTAACCTGTAAAGTGAAAACTAATAATTCTTACCTTTTAGGAGGTTCTTAACATTAAGTTTTGCAAGTGTTTAAAACAGTATCTGATATAAAATGTGCTTCATTAATATTAAATAGGTAAAATAGACAGAAAAGAGAACAATTCATTGGTCACATATGATTAGATTGACTATGTAGAACACCCAATACAATATAGAAATAACTTATTAAAATAGATTATGTAGTGTTTTGAATAAAAATCAACAGATAAAATTAGTCAATTATGAATACCAATAATTAGTGTCTGAAACATTTTTGTTAAAAGTCTCTACAATGATATGAAAAATAAGGTGGCTAGTAATAATTCTAAAAAATATACAATGCTATTTGTTTAAAAAACTTTATTGAAAGACAATACGGAAATCTAAATAAAAAGAGTTATACCATATTCATTGATAGGAAGATTCAATAGTATAATGATGTTAATTTTTCCTAAATTGATTTAAAAAAATTGTAGTAGATTTTTTTCTAACAACATGGCCACAGCAAGATTTTCTTTCTCATATATTCTTCTTACAATGAGTTCTTCATATTCCTCCCAGAGTTGAGATAGAAGGAGCTTACATCTGTTTATCCCTAGAAGTTGATGAGCTATGCTGTGAGCAATGATATAAGATACTAAAGCTAGATCATAGCTGTTAATGTGACTGCTTGGTCCCATTGGGACTCTTGCTTGTTCCAGAAATAAATTCACTGTGCCATGAGGAAGTAAGAAATTCATTTGAAGTGGCAATGTGAAATAATTCTGGCAAATCCTAGTTGAACTGAGGTTGAAGCTGACGTCCACCATCAACCTCCAGACTTGTGCATGAATGGCCTTAACATGTGTCCAGTCTCCATCATAACTGGACAGCAACCATGTGAGAGACCCCAAGAGAATTGCCTAGCCAATCTTAGTCAACCTCTACAGTGGTGAAAGAAATAAAATTTAAGTTATTCATGAATGTCATTAAATTTCAGGTATTAGAAACAAAGCAATAGATACCTAAAATAAGAGTCAATATCTTTTTATTTAAAATTAATTAAGCTTTCAAGCTAATTCTAAAATGAGAAACATTTCTGAAGAAGAAAAGCAACATGAGGGGACTTTCCTTTTCAGACCACAAAATGTATAATAGAGAAAATAAGTTAGGTGATATTGCCACATAGAGAGACAAATAGAGTAATGTAGCAGGAAAAAAAGAAATTTCACTGAAATCTAGCAATGTGTAATAAAATAGAACTCTTTATAGGTGAAAAATTAATAAACAGGGCTCACAAATGTGAGCAAACTTCATTTGTATCAGACTTAAAATTGAAATTAGTAGGTAAAAGACAGACTTCAGTAACTGGTGCCGAGAACAGGAAACAGTTATCCAATAAGGGCATTTTATAAAATTGAGAAGACAATATAAAAGAAAAATAATTAACAAAAAATTATCCAATGAATATATGTTGAATGATTACCATTAGTCCATGATTCCTTTCTTTAAACTTATTATATTCTATCTGCACCATTTTTTGGTGGCATAATGTTTTTACTTAATTTGGGGTGGTTTGAAATTATTGCAGTATTTTAAATCTAGAAGTAAGAACATCCCCCCCCCCTGCACACACAAAAATAACATAATATATTATTGCCCCTATGGTTTAAAATAGAATATATTCTGGTTTTATTAGAATAAAAAATACCACTATCTAATAACATGTTGAATTTCACAGTAATTTAGATTGTAATTTCAGGGTATCATGTGAAAAGTTAAGTGACCAAAGGATGTTCATCTTGAAGGGGTCCACTCTTTTATGTGGAAGTAGTAGATTTATCATCAACCCAGTTATATAAGCAAGTCCTTTAAGCAAGGGGAGAATGAGGAGTTTGCTGTCCCTTAATCTTTGGCCACCCATGAGGTATTTCTAGGGTACTGTTCCACTTGATACAAACAAGATATCTATTTTCATTACTGAAAATGAGAAGATGGAGTGGAGTAAGTATCCGCTGAACTCCATTACCATCTATATCTACTTTGAATAATTGACCCCACTTTTTTATTCTTTTGGCCAGAATTAGTTGGATAAATGCCTTAGTTTTCCATCTTACTTAATCTGTGTAGACAGAGCCAAAGAATATCTCCTCCCTGAAACAAGCTTTTCCATGGCACAAAGGATACTAATGCCCTTGATTGGCATGCCACAGCACTCTAAACCATTTGACTCCAGTGAGTTAGTCAAGCAAGAACGTCTGAAAGCAGAGTGACTCCTCTGTTTAAGTACTTAAATGCACAGCAAATAACTGCTGGCCTCTTTTTCTTCACTGGTCTGCTGTCTCATGAAGCAGTGTATTATTACAGATAATCTACAATGAATGAAAGACAAAGCATTCTGTATTCAAAATTTTCTTCCCAGTTGCCAAGTGTACTGAACCTGTGATTTTTCAAAATAAAAGATACAAATATTTATTTGAAAAATGATATAATTAAGAGAGGCTTACTACAGAGCAGCAACTACACAATGCTGTATAACCAAACCATAATACCAATAAACAGGTTTTGCCGACAGACACCTATTGTCAATAAGATTAGTTGAACTCAAAATAGTGCCAGGAAACCTCTTTCATGCTTCAACAGAAAGTAATTTGTTTCAAGTAATGATGACTAGTTATGTATAATTATCTGATTATTGGGGGAAAAAAACCTTGCCCAAACAACTTTGGTGTGCTGCATTATAAGGTTTCATTTACTCTCTGAATTATTTAATGTTTACGTAGTTCTGAGACAAACTGCACAATTCAAAACCAATTAAAAGATTTGCCCAGATCACCCATAACTTATAAATTGGCACAACATAGTAGGATACATACTAATTTTGACATATATATCCATTTTTAACAGTAGAATCTTCAAAAATAAGATTTTTCCAGAGAAGACTAGTTTATAAATCATCAGCCAATGAAAATGATTCATGAAATTATATCAATTTTAATGTAAAACAGTATAATTCTTATCTCTTGTGTAGGTAGACTTTTAAGATGTATGAGAAAGTGAATTTCTTATACCATTTAAATGAAAATAATCATTCAGTGTCTAGCACAATCTTGCAAATCAGGAAAAATATTTAGATTCATACACAAAGAAATTTTAGTCATTGTTATTCTTCTGATTTACTTGGAAACACTATGAATTAAACTAATATTATTTTCTATTCAACTGGCATAAATTAACTTTGCTTCTTGGAACGATTTATTTTGAATACTTGCCCAGTGAGCTAAAATGCTGCAAGTTTTTTTCTTCCCAGGTGAGGCCACAGTACTTTAATTAACCTTTCTAATTATAAGGGATAAAATAAAGATAATTATTACATGTAAACTATTTATTATATAAATTTAAGAGAAACGTATGCATGATTTGGAGCTGACGTCATCTCCTTGCATTGATATTATTGGTTGTAGTGTTAAAAAAGCTTTGGCTGCAAGTAACATAAAGAAGGTTTGCTTTTTTCATGCAATGAGCCCACAGACAGGCCACTGATGGCATTGTTTCCATGCCTCAGCCATGTTGAGGTTAACACTGACTGAATTGCTTTCATCTTTTCCTCATGAGTTCACAATGATCACCCTATATCTTGACATTTTGTACATGTCAATGAAAAAAAACAAAGGGAGGAGACTGAGGTACCAGCACTGTCCATGGCTTTTATTGGAGAAACAGAACCTCTCCCGAAGTCCCTCCCATTACAATAGCATTTCTTTTCATTGTATGAGTCAGAAATATGTCACATGGCTATCTCTATTTGTAAGGGTGAATGCAAACTAAGTATTTTCTTTATGGTAGAAATGGGCAATAGAGAAAAGGATTGGATTAACTAAACAATTTTTATATTGACATCATCTAATATTCTACTTATAGATTGATTCAGATAATTGCTTCCACACATGTAAAAAGAGGGGATAGCATTTCCCTATCTCTTGGAATTGTGTAAAGTTTAAATGAGATGCTATATATGAACTTGCTGAATCAGCTATTAAGAATGATTCATAGTTTAGATTATCAGTGTCTATGTGGGAACACAACTTACAAGGTATGGTGCAAGAACTCCCTCATGGAGCTGGCTGGCTAAGGACTGAGACCTCTAAAACCATATGCCTCAAAATAAGCTTTTCTTCTTCGAATTATTCTTTTCAGGTATTCTTGTTACAGCAGCTGTAAAGCTGACTAAAACAAAGGCCCCAGGTTCAAACCCCAGCACTACAAAATAAAGAAGCATGAAGATTAACATCTCATTTTAAGAAAATGATTTCACAGAAGTATGTATCTGTGTTTATGTATCTTGTGTTTCAAGCCGTATAGTTGTACCCCCCAAAGATCCATACTCCTATGCCCCAAGCTTGTAAATATGTTGTGACTCATGAAAAAGGGAAATTAAAGTTACAAAAATAATAAAATTTGCTTCTAAATCTGCTGACTTTAAATTAGAGTCCAATGGGCTGGGGATGTGGCTCAAGTGGTAGTGCGCTTGCCTGGTATGCGTGCTGCCCAGGTTCGATCCTCAGCACCACATACCAACAAAGATGTTGTGTCCGCCAACTAAGAATAAATAAATATTAAAAAATTCTCTCTCTCTCTCTCCTCTCTCTCCTCTCTCACTCTCTCTTAAAAAAAAATAAATTAGAGTCCAATTATCCTGGACTCTCTGATGAGTCCCAATATAATCATAGCATCCTTAAAAATGAAAAAGTGAGGCATATCAAAGTAATTCAGTCTGAGAAGGTCTCAACTCACTTTTGCTATCTTTAAAGATGAGAAAGGAGAAGATGAATCAAGGAGGTAGCAACCTCTAGAATCTAGAAGAGGCGAGGAAAACAGGTTCCTACAGGGACTCAGGAAGGAAGCTGATACCTTGGTTCCAGCCTCATGAGATTTATTCCCTTTAGAACTGTGACATAATAAATTTTGTTAAGCCACCAAGTTTATGGTAATTTGTACAACAGTAGTAGGAAACCAATATATATCTTAATCTATTTGTATATGTATGGACATATAAAATGATGTTCCATTAAAGTTAGGGCTGGCTAGCTTGGACTGGCAGCATTCAGACAATTTTATACATGAGTTTTATATTTTATTGAATGATTTTAAAAATAAATTAACATATTACTTCTATTGGGAAGACACACATACACAAACTATACATCTTTTTTGAGAAACTTAGGAGAAAAGATATTTGCTTTATATTGTTTAATCTAGTGTTTCCCAAATACATTTGAATGTAATGTGGAAAAGCCAGACCAAATTTTTCCCATCTTATTAGAAGCCAGTGGTTTAAGGAGCATGCTGATGCTGTCTCACTGATATCTAACACTGTCCAGATAATAAGTGTTTTACTAATTCCTGATGATTCAGAAGCTTAGGTGAGATCAATATTTGGGTGTGGTGACCATTAACAAAGAACCAGACACATTTATTGTGCTTGGTAGAAGAGTCATAAACCACAAATGTGAGTGTGTAATGTGTGTGATCTAGGCTTAGTTAATTTACACCCTCAAAGTAATCAGTAACTGAAGGAGTAAGGTCTTGTGACACCTACCTAGTGGCCAGACTTTAGGAGAGCTCTGAAAATGGAGCCTAATAAGTTGATTGGACAACTTTTATTTACTACTATGGATATTTGCTAACTTCTACCCAATATTATATGGAATATTAGATAAACATCCTAAAGAGCTGGTGAGAAAATCCATAGTTTATACTATGGTTTCAATATGAAGTATCCCTCAAATGTTCCTATGCGAATGCAGGAGTATTCAGAGGTGAAATGATTAGATTGTGAGAGCTGTAACCTAATTGGCACATATTAGTTTGAATGGAGGAAGTGGGTGACAACTGTGGGCAAGTGGGTCATGTCTGGAGGAGGTAGGTCACTAGGGGCATGCCCTGGAAGAGTCCATCTTTCCTATGGCTGCTTCCCCTTCCTCTGTCTCTGCTTCCTGGCTGCCAAGATCTGAGCAGCTTGCTTCTACGGCACTCTTCAGCCATAATGTTCCTCTTTACCTTGGGCAAGAGCAAAGGCGTTGGCCACCGATGGACTGAACTTCTGAAACCATAAGCCAAAATAAAATCTTCCTCCTCTAAGCTGTTCTTACTGGATATTTTGGTCACAGACATGGAAAGCTGACTAACAGTTTCTTTAATTGCCTTTCCTATAAATGATTTAGCTGCCTTTAGAATACATGCTGCTGTATAAATAAACACAAGGGATTGTAGTCTGATAAATGCATGTGCCTGTTAGGGAAAATAGGTGGTTTTTGTTGTTGTTGTTGTATTTTGTTGTTGTTGTTTACTGTGATGTTGAGATTTAGGTCCACTATCTTTTAACAAAAAGATAGGGACACAGATATACATTCTTTTTTAAAAAATCAAATCAACACAGAGTAGAAGTTGGCATAATGTTTCCACTAACGCTTGGTTTATTCTGTGGAAATTCCCTTAAGGATCATAATGAGGAAAAATAATTCATTTGACAAAGAATTTATCCTGTTCTGAGATGAGAGGTGGTAGCAGATATTAAAACTTTATTAAAACTAAAATGTTTATTCCATAGCACTTACACCTAAGGAAAAAAAAAAAGATACTGCTGGGCTTGGTGGTGCACACCTATAATCCCAGTGACTTTGGAAGCTGAGGCAAGAGGATCAGAAGTTCAAAGCCAGCCTCAGAATGGCGAGGTGCTAAGCAAATCAGTGAGATCTCTAAATAAAATACAAAATAGGGCTGGGGATGTGGCTCACTGGTTGAGTGCCCCTAAAAAAAAAAAAAAAAAAAAGAAAGAAAAAATGATACTGACTTGTTGCATTTTGAGATTTTTTTTTTTTTTATTTGGCAAACCCTTTTCCCCTGATGCCAGAAAAATTGTTTCTATTCTTGCCTTCCTCTATTTCCATTCTCTTTCCTTTTCTCTTTCTCAAAAATTTAGCTGTAAGGCATTTTATTACTATGTTATTGAAGTAAACTGGAAACAGAACATAGGATATTTATATTTTTGTGAAGAGTGAAAAGTTACCATTTTAAAATAATAATAAGTGCTTACAAAAATACATTTTCCCCTGTTGAACTCTGAAAGTCTTTCTTCTTTGCTTTGACACTTCTCATTCCCATCCAAGATTATGACAGACCTGATCCTTACAAATGAATAGTTATGATTTTTTTTTTTTGCAAAATAAATATACAAAGAAGGGTATTCCCACTTTGGGTGGGTATCTTAATGGGTAGTATTAATTGGACATCACACTTTTCTAAGTCTAAGCAGATATACTAACTTGGATGAAAAACATGGGTTAGGAAAAAATATAATCTGTAGAAGCTAAAGGGCTTGATTTTCTTTGTGGCAAATATGTATTTTGTGTAACTCCAAAGTTGAAGTAAAGACAAATGAATATCCCCATGGTGTAATCACCTAGTTGAAAAATCAGGTGACTTCAGTCTTCAAATTCCCTTTTAGCACAGTAGGTTTTTATGTTTTTTTATATCTTGGTTGGTAGATGAGTCAATGTTTAAATGGTCATTCATCATTTACCATATAAAAGAAAAGCTATTACCTGAAACTCATTTTTACAGTTGCAGGCAAACAGAAATAATCATTTTCAAGGACCTAAAGCTGTTTCGTGAAGAATGTCATCATTTTATCCTTATTTTACTTATTATTTACTTAGATATGAGCCAGCTTTGAGAGCAGCACCTTGCAAGTTCTGGCTGTAAAGAGTTTCTACCAGGTTCCTGCTGCAGCTGGTGAGGAGAGGAAACTGGGCATTCTGGGACCCACAGTTATCTTTCAGACAAATCAAAGAACAAGGCCAAAGGCACAAAGCCAGCCACAGAAATCCTGGTTCCCATATGGGCTACATTATATTGGTCATATTGAGGCAAGGTGATCAGGTGAATTCCACAATGTCTCAGTGGGAATCATTGCACTTAATAACAGGGCCAGGCTTGGTTGGCTCAGACATTTCAAGAATTACCATTCCTAATCTGTGGGTTGGCTTTTCATAAATATCTGCTACCTTTTCTTTTCTGTTAATGAAATGAAATATGTTGTGTAGAAAGGGATAATGATTCAAAATCTACTTGGATCATGGTTTTCATGAAAATTAATAAGAAGGACTTGAAAATGCAGGCAAAGACTTTAGGAGAAAGAATTTGCTGAGTTACAAAGTGTGAAACAGCTCAAGAGTCACCTAGAACTGGTTTCGAGTCCTCCCTTTTCTATTTAATAACACTGAGGGCATAGCATTTATTGAATCTCTTCATGTTGCATTTCCATTATGGTCATAAACAGAAGGAATAGTAACATCTATACCTAACAGTAGTTGTGAGTGTGAAATAAACTATATGTAAAAGGTCTGCTATACTGGCTGATATGCCTTAGGGGCTCAATAAATGTCAAGGAGTTCTGGTTATGAAAGTTTCTGTTCCAAATCCTGGTTTGCTCACCCTTGCTGACCAGCAGAGCCAGACAGTGTGGAAACATCCAGAGACTTCAAGTTCCTTTCACTTTAAGTCTAGAACTCAGGTTTTACAGCCTTCTCTTTTCTCAGGGTCTTTCTCTACCCCACAATGTCTTCCAATCCATAGTTTTCACCAATAAGAGAAGAAAGGACAAGGTTGCATTCAGACATTTTTAACTTTGCATTTTTCTCTGCAAATGTTATGGTCCAAGGCTCCCATAGTATCATTGTGAACAGATCTCCCTGAGGATAGTGCAAGCATCTAATGGCCAGTGAAGACCTTTTTTTTTTTTTTATTACAAAATACAGACAGAAAGTAGTCACATTTTTAGAATCAATCACATGGGAAAATACAGAATAGGAAAAAGTTACCATGAAATTGGTAACTTTCATGAGAACGTTTGCATTTTAGTTATCAGAAGCACATCTGTGCATATTTGAAAACTAAACAGTGAGGCATCTACTCAGGAGACTCATTGTTTATTCAGCCTTCAGGCACTTAAGTCTGTGTGTCCCTTGAAGTAATTTTTTTATCGTCCTCACAAAGGAGAGCCTCTGCCACTGGTTGAATCCCTGCTCTTGGTAATGGAAGGCTAGTGAGGGTTATGATGATATAAATCAGGTGAGGTCTTAGGGAGATTGATTGGCAGATCACTGGAGGCATAAGAGAGTTCTTACAGGGAGATTATTTGATGACCGTGACATTCAAAGCATGAGATATGGGGATGGAGGATGAGGTAATGAAAGTAGAAACCAAAATTAGTTGACAGATACAAAAATAAATAAATTTGTTTTTTCTTTCTTTTTTGTTACTCGACTGTTGAAAGTAAAGGAAAGACTATAGATGTGGGCAAAAGAAAAAGATGAACTTAAGTTCAGCCATCTTAAAATAATGGTATACTTTGGTTCAATGTTGGGGGTGGGGATGGGATGTATGCTAAGCAGGTAGTTAAAAAGATGGGATTGAATTCAAGAGTAGTCATAGAGGATACGAAAGTCATTTCTGTAGAAGTGATTGCAACCATAAGAAATCACAACTGTAATAAGACAAAGAATGAAAAGAGCTGGAACAATTGAAGACAGATCTAGAGTCTACCAGAGTCAGGCAACATTTTCTGTAAAGAGCCACAGAGCAAATATTTTAGGCTTTGTAGACCAATCATCTCTGATTCAACTACTTAACTATATCACAAACAAATATGCAAAACTCTTGCCTGTAAAAAGTCTATTTACCAAAACAAGTACTAAGTTGTAATTGACCTAAGAGCCTTAGTTTTCTGACCTCTGTTCCAGAAATGTAAAATCCTGAAGGCCAAGGAACTGTGTGCTTAGTTCCCTTTGTATCCCCAGGATCTAGCACAGTACCTGGTTTATAGTAGGTTCTTGACGGACATTTGTTGAGTGATAAGACTGTGGCTTCATCACTATGTTCATGTTTAACTTTGTTGGAGCAAAGAAAAAAAAAAAGAATCCTGGGAGATATGACAACAATCAGGATCCTACAACACAGATAAAATCAAGACAAGAGTGTGTGCAGAAAAGAAGTTCTGGCAACAGTGATGACTTTCATAACAGATCATGAAGAATCAGGAATGCTAAAAAGCTACTTTTCTAATAATCAGTAACACATCTGATGCAACAGTATAAAATATCAGAATAAGAGACCATAGAAATGTTATCAAAGGAAGGATGCAGACCCACAAAAGAAAATAGGTGTTAGGAAAGAAGTAGTTTTGTGAAGGAGTCTGCATGTTTTAACCTCAAGAGTTCCTATCCCCCTCATTTTAAAAGTTTGTCAGTAAAAAATAATAATTTTAAACATCATCCAAAAATCTGTGGGTTAGAGTCTTACAAATTTAATATCATGAATTTGTGAACTATTTGAGGCAGTATCAAACTTGATTTTTGATGTTATGGAGATAAAATAACCAGCTTGGATATTTTTTTAAAGTAGTCTTATTGATATTTGTCAAGAGTTTTATTTTAGCTGCTTTTCCCTCAATTTATGAGCTTAACTTTTGTGAAGATTCAACTTCATTTTATGAAGTTGATATCAAGCATACGATTTAAATATTTTCTTTTTATTATTAGTTTCCAACATTTACTTTTTTCTTTCCAGATTATCCCACACAGAGCTGTTGGAATTACTGGGGGATGATTTCAAAGGAAATTTTCTTCTCTAAACATTCTTATCCCAAGGTAAATTGATGGATTTCTAATGAATAAATTCTGGGAGGAAAACATGGGTACTTTCATACTTCAATTCAGAGACTTAATTCCCTCACTTTTAACTGTAGCCACCTGCCATTTTAAGTTTATGCAGTCATTTTTAACAATGGGAGATTATTATATTTTGGGTACGACATTGGTCACCTTTGTGTCATTTGAGACCTAGTGGGTTTGGTTTGTTATGCTTATGCAAATGGGGAAACACACCACCCTAAACATGTCTAATCCTGTCATGGAAGCTTTTCTTGGAATAATTGGAGTGAGATGATGGAGCAGGGAGGAAGGAGGCAATGGAAATTGAGGAAAAAGGGTCTCAGCCTGAATTTTCCAAATTGGCTATTTATCTGGTTAATTCTTCATCTTTCCTCATCACCATGTCTGAATTGAGAAAATCTTCCTAATGATAATAAACTATGTCAAGAACAGATGGCTGATTTGATGTGATGAAAATAGCTATGTCAATTGAGGGTATTTTTTTCCTTACCCACTTTGCTTTTCATCACTCTGGGGTTGGTAGTTCATGTAATTTTTTTTTTCTTTTGCAGAATATGCCTGAGCCCAATATACTGGGTGAATCTCTGTTCAAAAGCAGTTGGGCCCTTTTTTTCTCTGAAAAAAAAAATTGAGAAATGGCTTTAAAGAAAAAAAAAAAGTACTTATCACCTTTCCTGTCTTTTCAGCTTTAGTTAAGTTACTTTGGGAAGGATCAGTTTACAACAAATGTTTAGTGTCAGGAATTTTACAGTTTCATAGGCCCTGACAGCTTGGCATGAAAAGAGGTGGCAGTATGTCAATTGTAAACGAGGATGCTATTTACATACTAATTAAACTTTGCACTAGTGGGGTGAAAGAATGTCATTAGGAGCACCCCAGTTATTCTGTTTATATCATTGTTGTCTATTTAAACTGTCTATTGTTTGCCATGTCACAACCTCATCCCCTAAATGCCATTTCATAACCTTATAATACTTAAAAAAAATATTACCCCACTGCTTAACAAATCACGCAGAATTAGGATATCTGAAAGCAAAAGGAATTCCCCAAACCACTTTGCTTCAGGATAGCACCCAGTTGGATGATGATGATACTAACAGTTTTTATCAACTACTTCCTATATGCAAAGCATTTTGCTAAACATTTTTTTAATTTGTTTTACATCTTAATTCACTTGTTCTTCAAAATAATGTGGGAATGCTTCTTAAAACCTTTTTACCCCTGAGGAAATTGGGGCTGTGCAATATGTAAGTGAGGACATCAGGACTCCCCCATTCAGGTTCTTATTATCATACCTTATAACCCTCTGCTTTGCTGGGTCCTTTGATCCACAAAGTGTCCCACTGCTATCAGAGATGGGCAGGGTTACTAAAATTACAGCAAAAGCAGAGATTTCACTTATTGTCTTAATCCATTTATTTATGGGGGAAAAAGTTTAAATAATAAAGAGCCTATGCCTATTGCACACTATATTATTCTTTATCTACATGATTAGTATATCACTATTACAGGCTCTTATCACATATTTCCCACTGCTTTCCAGTTCCATCTCACCCTATCTTGTACCAGTGCAGAACACACCAGTCTTTTGATGATGCCTTTACACAGCATTCCACAATGTATTCTGTGAACCTGATTCAGGAAGACCAATCATGTCGGTTAGCTCATAAAACAAAAAGTGACTGAGAGTGCATTGAGCTATTTTATTCTCTTACTTCATATCTACAGAAGGTTTATTGGATTTGACTAAAGACTTTTTTTTTCCCCCCTCACTGGATAAGGAGCAGAATCAACATTATATCACATCTGTGTGGGAGTTGGCTTCACAAGATTTGCAGCCATAAAGAGCAAGATCAGAACTTTTTCCTACTGGGGGTGTTGGAAGCAGCCCACCAACCATGTGGATATTTATTCCCCAGAGTTGAGAGTGAGGAGTTGGCCCTTCTTGGCATTGTCAACAGAATGCTGGTCTGTACTTCTTTCTTTAAAAATTACAGAAACAGAAAGCCTAGAGGGTTGACATTGAAATACCTTGCCAAAAGAGGATTGAACACATGATCCTTTATAGCTTTTTCCGTACTATTTTCAAGGTTGAAATAATTCCATGATGGAGTAAAAAAAAAAAAAAAAAAAAGCCAGGGGAAGGAAAAAGAAAATATACTTCAGCTCTTGTTAATTCCAACCACTACACCACATTTCGTGAAATGTGACATAGTTTTCCTCTACAAGCATGCCAAAGAAAGGGGGGAAAAATCTAAATTTTGAGCTGATAACTCGAATGGTTCCAGAGATATCAACTTGTGAAAAGTCACAATTTTGCATTGTGCTGAAAAGCCACCTTCCAATGCGGGGACTACATCACTCTTTAATATCCAGCCGAGTCCCCTGCTGCGCTTTGTCAGTCAGTAGCAACATCCAAGTCTTCCCCTAAAAGTAATTCACACTTTTTTCACAACACTGTTGCTTTAATTACCACTGAACTCTGCTGATGCTCAGGCAGGCCTGGCAGGACCAAGGGAGGGTCAGAGCCACAAAAGAAGCAAATAGCTTTTTTCCTCCCTACTTTATTATTAACAAACCATCTTTGATGGAAATGTTCCTAGTTCTGAGGCCTAGACTTAACTCTGCGCCCCCTTGGCGTGTTCATTATCAAAAGAGACTCACAGATGCCAGAGAGAGAGAGAGAGAGAGAGACAGACAGACAGACAGAGACAGGAGAGAAATAGTGCCAGAAATCCTAATTAGAAATTAGAGATTTGGGCCAAGAATAGACTTAGTTATTCAAAACTGGCAAACAATGATTGCATTCCTCATAGAGCTTTCATTTTCTGAAAGTGAACATAGATTTCATACCCTGCAGTTTTGCTGGACAAATGTCTATTTGTCTGTTCATTTAGTGTGGATTCCTTTTTACAGGATTAGTTAGTTGACACAGTAAATCATATATCAAAAGAAATCACAGAACTGCCAAAATCTACTAGTGCATAAAAATAATAGAAAGAGCCTATGCTTTATAAATAATACGACAGCAATATTGTAGGTATAGCATGCATATGTAAGGCACTTTTCATTCCATGTCACAAAATATTTCCCTAATAAAACTATTCCCGTGAAACCAACTTCCACAATATTCTCCACACAGAATGTGAAGGGTACCTCTCAGTAACTTCACATACACTTTTAGGGAAGCAATAAATTGGATTGTAATCTTTGGTAAATGATTTAAAAGACTGCTAAGTTTTGTTCTGGTTTTAGAATTTCTTGTTAAAAAATATTATAATTTAAAGTTATACTGTAGGCTTGTGTATATATTACCATGCTATTAATGCTACTGCTGTTTATCATGATCTGTTTCATGTTCTGATTTACTACCACTGTGTAGGATTTAGCTGGATAGTATGATACTATGATTAATTAATATACTATTAATATATTAATGATATACTATTAATATGTTACTGATATAATACTTGGAATCTGTTTATCAGTAACATTAATATACTATATTATTAAATAGCAGTAATATTAATATATATCAGTAATACTTTAATGTACTACAAATAAATTCATATCCAAAGTCCCTATGATTTGATCCTAACCTTTTTAATATACATCTTTAATTCCCATCTATATACATCTTATGTGTCTATGATTCCAAAACCTGATTAACCCTCAAATTTTCCTGAGGAGAAGAGGAATTCAATAAACTGGAACAACTGAGAATTAAGGTGTAAAATTGTAGCTCTTGTAGTTTCAGATAATGTGTACTAGGTTTGTATAGTTTATTGAATTAAACTTTTCTGCTTATTTCCTTACTTTTAAAACTCAGCCTATGCTATAGAAATCTTACTAACTTTTCCTAGTTCTAAGTACAGAAATCAGCATTTCTGAAATCAGTCCTGATAGTGTTGAATATCTTCCCCAAGACTTAAACTTTCTATGTTAAGTTGCCATTATTCATATTTATCTCTTTATCTTCTCTTCTATATTTGTTTTATCAAAATATAAGCTTGTTCAGAGTATAGGTTATAATATTCTTTCTGGAATTCACAGTGGGTAAAAAAAGATGCACTCTGTGGAATGAATCCCTGAATTAGATTTCATGCAGAATGTAAGACTGCAGACAAAGTGGAAGTGAATAACTCTTGCTCATATATTCATTCTGTGGCACAAGCACGAAGACTTTCCAAAGATGACTACACGAATATATATTTCACTCCACACCTTCTCTTTACAGTGTTGACAAATATGTTGAGAATGATCCATTGATGCATTGGTGGGGTCTATATTCTTTCACCACAAATCTGGGCACATCTTTGTTTGCTTTAATCAAAAGTAATGAAGTATAAGTGATCCTTTATGGATTCTGGGGCTAGGTCACAAAAAGTTCACACAGTGTCATCCTGGATCTCTCTTGAGAGGCAGGTCTTGAGAGCCTAGAACTGACATGTATGGAGTCTGGCAACCCTGGAGTTGCCATACTAGAGATAGCACCAAGAGGAAACATGCCATTTCAGAGGAGCCTCAATGCATCCAGCCCCCAGCAATTGCTCTGAACGCCGTGGAGCACAGAAGTCAACCCCATCGTGCCCTAATTTCTGATGCACACAATCTGACATGTGGCTGCTTTGTGCCACTACATTTGGGGAAGTTATTCAGAAGTACTAATTAGAACACACAATTTTAGGCATAAGAGAACCAATTCGAAGCCGGTGTGGTGGCACATGCCTGTAATCCCAGATGAGGCAGGAGGATCATGAGTTTAAAGCCAGTCTCAGCAAAAGTGAGGCACTAAGCAACTCACTGAGACCCTGTCTCTAAATAAAATAATTGGGCTGGGGATGTGGCTCAGTATTGAGTGCCCCTGAGTTCAATCCCCGGCACCCAAAAATAAAATAAAATAGAACCAAACTGAGCAAGATGAACTGAATCTCTGCTCTTATAAGGTTTATATTCTATGATTTTAAAATCAGAAAAGATAGAAACCTTTCATCTTATTAATTAGAATTCTGTTGTTTTTTACAACAACTTTATTGAGCTATAATTGACAGATGGTAAGCTGCACATATTTAAAGTGTACGATCTGATAAGTTTTGACATATATGTGCACCTAGGAAACCATCATCACAGTCAAGATAATGAACATATCTGTCATCTCCCAAACTTCCTCATGTCCCTCTGTAAACCTTCTTTCCAGCACCGAGACAACCAATGTTCTGCTTTCCATCACTTTAGATTCATTTGCCTTCTAGAATTTTATATGAAGTGAAATCATACACTATGTACTCTTTTATTTTGTGTTTGTTTTCTTTTACTCAGCATAATTACTTTGCAATTCATCTATTTGTTTTATATCTCAATAGTTATTCCTCTGTTACTGAGTACCACTCATTGTGTAGATACACCATATTCTTTTTACCTCTAGGGATTGTTTTTGAATTTTGGCTATTACAAATGCAACCACTTCCATCAATAAAGTGCTTGAATGAACACACACTTTTATTTTTCTTGAGTATATAACTAGGAATAGAATGGCTTTCCCTCTGCACTGTAGCCCAAATGTTCCTTCAACGGAGTAACGTAGGACCACCTTAGGGCTTACCTCATTTGTTTCCCACATGTCAGATATATATCATTCTGTTTTGTTGCTTAACATCCAATATCTTGGAAACCATATGTCTGTAGTGTTTGTGTGTATGTATATATGTGTGTGTGTTCATATAATGCATGTTAACATATGAATATATATTTTTATATATATTTTTCCTACTTTTAGTTGTTTCGGGTAGAAGGTTAAATGTGGTCCTTGTTACACTACCTTCATACTATCTCATTTTTTAAAATTTCCCCCAGGTTAAGGATTTATTTGGAGGTAAAAAAATATTTCCTGCTTCTTCATGTCAACAAGAAATGTTTTTCAAACTTGAATAGGTATTGGTGACACAAAGTAGAAGGTCTCTGGAGTCTCACTGTCTGGTTTTGACTTACGGCTCTGCTACGTATTAGCAATGTAAATTTGGACAAGTTATTTAGCTTCTGCAAGCCCTACTTTTCTCATCTTTACAATAATAAAAATAGTAGTAGTAGTAGTAGTAGTAATAATAATAATAATAATACCCACTTCATACTGTCACCATACAGTAAGAAGAGAATTCATGAAATGTACCATGCCCCATGTCTGGAACATCATAAGCTTTTAATAAAATGCTATCAATTAATATTGATATATTTTTAGGATCAGTTAAATGAGAAATTGTATCATATCCTTGGATAAAAGGACTAGGGCAAATAGCTGTAATACTGTTATATGAAATACTTAATAATGAAAGTGGTTCCTCACACACTCTGAATAAAGTTTCTGGGTTTCATCCTCTTTTCCAAATCCCACCACTAGAGAATTGACATTCTGCAACCTTTACACACACAAGCTTCAAGAAATTCAGTCAAATCATGTTAGGGATCTGGGAAAAGAACTTAAAGTTCGGTCAACAGAAATGATCCTCTCAGAGAAACTTGTTGTATCCACCAGGGCTGGAGGAGAAGGGGATGTGATGTGGCGGCTAATGCAATGCAGGAGTGAGTTTGCAGAGGAAAGCTCTCTGTTTGGAACTGAGAAAGGGTTTTCTGATGGAGCAGCCTCTATGGTAATGAGTAGACCAAGGCACAGAACTAACTTCTTGGTTTCAATTTGCTGGTGAAGTAAATATTTAATTAGGACAATATTGAACGGCTAGTTATAGTCTACCTGTGTGTATGTGTGTTGGCAAGGAGAAATTAAGTGAGCTCTCAAATCTATTTTGCTTCAATTGCTTTATGGCAATTTGAATTGCCACATATAAACTTGTATGCACAGATACCGTGGACTGCATGGGAGTTTGAATGACCCTTAACTGCACAAAAGTTTAAAATATTAGCATTAAAAATTCCAGCCACTTTTTAAGACCTTTTTTTTTTTTTTTAAAAAAAAC